GAGTGGGGCGGCGCCGCCATGCGAACTTTTCCGGAGCTCCCTGTGGGGTCAAGACACGTGTGAGGGGTGCGGCAGAATGGGGTGGCGCCGCCATGCGAATTTTGCCACGACAGCCTTCTGTGGAGCTTCCTATGGGAGCACGAACCGTGTGAGGGGTAAGCCGACGTTGGGCGGCGCTGCCATTCGCCATGCGAACTTCGCCACGGCGGCCTCCGGTGGAGCTCCCTCCCTATGTGGCCGCGAACCGTGTGAGGGATGCGCCAGACTGGGGCGGCGCCGCCATGCGAACTTTGCCAGTGGGGCCTTCGGTGGAGCTCCCAATTGGACCACGAACCGTTGAGGGGCGTGCCGACATGTGACTAGTGCGGAGGGCAGAGGCAGGGAAGGGAGGAGGGGGGGCGAGGCGGAAGGAATGAGACGCGGGGCGCCGTCTTTTCAAAACCAGGACCCAACACAACAGTACGGTTGGAAAAAAGGCGGACGCTGCGTCCTTATATTTTCAGCCTCGAGGGACCCGCGCCGGGCTCCGCGACCGTCACAGTCCCGCGGAAAGGGTCGAGACCTCTGAGGGTCGTTGTTGTGAACAAGATCATGACGTCGGGGGCCTGGGTCACCGTTCGGCCCCAAAAAAGATAGAGGACTTGGAGAGGGTGGCAGGGAGACAAGGGGAGGAGTGCGGGCAAAGCCAGCTTGCGGGTCGCAGGAGGCGCAGCAGCACATGCAGTTCGACACCCAGCCCGAGACCCAGACTCCAGAGTCTCTCTTGCTGCTCATGTGGGGGGGGGGTGGAGAGCGAGGAGTGAGGCTTTGGGGCTGCGCAAAGACGACCAGCTCCAGGCAGTCCAAGCTGGTCTCAGCAGGCCCCCGAGTCGCCCCAGCTGGCTTCGACAGGCCCCCCGAGCAGTCCAGGGCGGCCCCAGCACCCTGGCGGCCCGCCTCCGGCGGCGCTCTGGAGGCGTCCCGCGCCCCAGGCTGGGGTGTTCGGACCGCCCCAGGGCACACCTCGCGCATCCTACGAAGAGGAGGGGGAGGGGGAAAAGGAGGAGGAGGAGGACGACGACGACGACGAAGAGATGAGGAGGACGAGAAGGAGGAGTGGGAGGAGGAGGAGGAGGAGGAGGAGGAGGAGGAGGCGGAGGGGGAAGGGGATTGCTCAGAGCCCCAGGGCGGCAGGGACGCTCGGCCCGCGGCGGGGTGGCGCGCGTACAGGCGGCGGAGTGGACCGGTCGGCAGGTGGGCGGCCGCAGTGCAAGACAGAAACACGCACACACACACACACAGACACACAGACACAGACACACAGACACAGACACACACACACACATAAACACATATTTGTTGCGCATTCCCGCGGAGGAAGATGAGGAGGAGGAGCAGGAGGAGAAGGAAGATGAGGAGGAGTAAGAGGAGGAAGAGAAGGAGGAGGAGTGTGAGGGGTCATAGTTTGGTAGCGGGCGCTGGCAGTCACACTCGAATTGTGTGGAAACTTGCCTTTCGAGTGAATTCGCATTCACCGTTCACTATGACGGAGCACTGTACTTGTCCGCCGATCGGTAACACAAGCATGGTAAGGGGCTTCGGTGTCCTCAGGATGAGCAAGCAGCCATGCGTGGAGTCAGTCGCGATGTGGCAATTTGGGAAGTTATTCGAGGTGTTCGGAATAGCCACGCCGACGCATCACACACCCCTTGCGCCTCCCACGAGGAGGAGGAGGAGGAAGAGGAGGAGGAGGAGGAGGAGGAGGAGGAGGAGAAGGAGGACCACGACGAATTGATGAGGAGGAGGAGAAGGAGGAGTGGGAGGAGGGAGAAGGAGGAGGAGGAGGAGGAAGGGAGGAGGGGGATGGGAGGAGAGGACCGGGGGGGAGGAGGAGGAAGCGGAGGTGCTGGGGGACCAGGCTGAGAAGGAGGCGGAGGAGGAGGGGGACGGAGCAGGATCCAGAGGGGGGTCGGGGGGGGTGCTAAAGGTGTCCCTGGCCCAAGGTTGGTTGTCCCTAGCGCCCTGAATCACAGTTGTACCCCATGTCCACCCCATCTCATACCCAATTCTTTATCACAACGTTGGTCCTCACAAGCCTCAATAGTTTCTCCATCTTCCTCCGCACTGTACAAACAACATACCAAGCCCGTGATATGTGGTAGCATTGGTTTGTTGCGGGCTCCAGCTGGAAGCGTTCGGCGTCCACGTTGCCTCGTCACACAGGCTACGAGCTGACGCAGAGTACGATCTCCCCTCTTGCCAGCAAGCGCGCAGAGGCGAGCAGGGGAAGGGGAAGGATAGTATCGATGAGCTCACCACAGCGATTATCCTCCCAATCCTCACTATCCTCTCCATCTTCTTTTTTTTTCTCATTTAAACTCGCAGGTGGGAGGAGCAGAGAGGCGTTTGATCATCTTGCCCTCACGTTCCTCTAATCCTCTTCCGCATTTCCCTCTCTTGTATCCTTTCCCGGTCTGCCGACGTAGCAGCAGGGAGGTGTTTCCTGGCAATGGTGTCCTTCCAGCCCGCGACGCTGCCCCAGAAGCAGCAGGAAGGAGGATCCGAGAAAGGCCGGGGGCAAGGGACGATATACGATTTTGCTTGAAGAAAGGAGCACGAGAAGGGGGAGATCGAGGAAAGCTCCAGAGGAGGAGGGAGTGGAGGGGCGCGGAGAAGATGGAAAAATATGTCAAGGAAGATGTGGAGAGAGGGCGTGAAAGAGAGTAAGAGAGAGAGAGAGAGACAAACAAATACATGTATATACAGAGAGAGAGGGAAAGAGAAAAAGAGAGAGAGAGAGCAAACGACAGTACGAAGGACACGCTACAAATAATTTGAGAGTCGCGCACTGTGCCTCCTTCTTCCCCCATCTCGATGCGCCTCTCCCTCCTATTTCCGTCGTATTTCTCCCCTTCCTCCTCTCTTTCTCTTTCTCTTGTTTGTTTTATCTCTTTTTTGTTACTCTCTCTCTATATATATATATAAAGATATATACCGATATATTTATATATGTATATATATGCATATATATATATATATATATGTGTGTGTGTGTGTCCCTCCTCTCTTTCTCTGTCTCTCACTCTCTCTCTCTCTCTCTGTTTCTCTCTCTCTCTCTCGCTCTCTCTCTCTCTCTCTCTCTGCTTTCCTCGCCCGCACTCCCCCCCTCTTCCCTCTCCTCCCCCTTTTTTCCTCGAAACAATCCTCTCCCTCGGCCATTACCCATCCTCCTCTTTTCCTCATCATCATCATCACCATCACCAGCAGCATCATCATCACCATCACCAGCAGCATGTTGCATCGTCATCAGCATCATCACTATGAGCATCATCAACATCAGCATCAGCAGCAGCAGTATCAGCATTCCCAGCATCATCCTCATCATCATCATCAGCAGCAGCAGCATCATCAGCATTATCAGCATAATCCTCATCATCACAATCATTATCAGCATCAGCATCATCATCCTCATCCTCAGTATCATCCTCCTCATCATCATCACCATTACCATTATGATCACCATCATCAGCAGCATCAGCATCAGCATCAGCATCATGGTCCCCCCTTCCCCCGAATCACAACTCTTCTCCGTCCCCTCTTCCGCCCTCTTCCTAACTACCCCCCTCCTCCTCCTCCTGGCTGGCCGCGAGTCTGGCAAGCCAAGCTCTTCAGTCGGGAGCCCGCACACTCTCCCGCCGCCTCTCAAACGCGGCGGCTCCCCCAGGAGCGACGCGCGAACGGCGGCCGCTCCTTTGGTGGAGGGGGTGCCCCGGCCAGGGCCTACACACTGCGGACCTCTTCATGGTAGCCGCGCTATGTCTTCAATCCCCCCCCCCAGTAATTGGAAGCTGATGCTTGCTTCGCAGGCTCACTGACGGGTCGGGGCCCCAACAATGGATGGGAATCCTTATTCCACCGCGGTGGCCGCTACCGATGACAGGGGGGGGGGAGGATCTCTGATGAGGGGAAGGACGAGTCAACTTGCCAGCCGAGTGCTTGGGGGGGGGTCCACTTGACAGTCAATTCTGAGGTGACGGCACTTCCTCGCCCCGCTCCCCCCCCCCCAGACCCCCGACGCCACGACTTGCTCACACCCTCGACCCCGCAGCGGTCTCGACCCACTCCCTGGGACCGGTTCTCGTCCCGAGTCGTTGTCAACGAGGGCCCCCTTGGAGGCCCTCGCGTTGTTGCTCGCCACGTCGGGGGGGAGGGGGACAAGGACCCACCTCAGACCCGACGGAACCTGGATCCGACCGAACTCGGGCCGGAGCGCCGCGCTGCAGCGGGAGCACCAAGTCCCAGTTCGGTTGGGTCCGAGCTCGATCCCTGTCTTTCGGCCCTCCTCCCCTCGAGGCCTCGCAGGTGGAGTCAGAGGTCTTACCCTTCCCAGGACCCCCCCCCTGCGGCAGCTGCCATCGTAGGGGCTGCTGGGGTTTTGCCCCCGCTTTCACACTCTTCACGCTTCGGCGTCAGCTGCCCTTCCTGCACCCGCGGCCAACGAAGACGCCCACAAAGGAGGGTCCAAACGTACCCCCACCGACTCTACACAAAATTAAGAAAGCGCGCCACTGGATCACCCTGTAATTGAAAGGGGGGGTCGCAGAACGCCCCCCCTCCCCCCTTTAAAGGGGGGGTGAGATTTTCGACACCCCCCCCCTCCCCCCCCAGACCAGGGGAGGGGGGTTCCGAACCCCCCCTTCCCCCCCCTCCTCGAAAAGGGGGGGGGAATCCGGACCCCCCCCCACCCCTCACCCCCTTGGCGCTAGAAGGGGGAGGTTCGGACCCCCCCCTGACACCTTTGCGCCGGACAGGGGGCCTGGGAGGGGGGGAGGTGGCTTCTCCCGTTTCTCCTTTCTGTGCCGAATAGGGTGGGTAGGGAGTACGGAGTAGTGAGTAGTCTGTAGTCAGTAGTGAGTAGTGAGTAAGGAGTGCGTAGTGAATAGTGAGTAGTGAGTAGTGGGTAGTGAGTAGCGAGTAGGGCATCGGGAGTAGGGAGTGGGGAGTACTGGGTCGTGAACAGCGGGTGCTGAGAACTGGATTGCAAAGTAGTGAATAATGAGTGGTGACTAGCGATTAGTGAGTAGCGAGAAGAGAGTAGAGATTAGTGAGTCATGAGTAGTGGGTACTGAGTAGGGAATGGGGAGTAGGTCGTAGTGAATAGTGAGTAGTGGGTAGTGAGCAGTGCGTGGTGAGTAATGAGTAGTGAGTAGTGGGTCGTGCCTGGTGAGTAGTGAGTCGTGAGTAGTGAGTAGTGCGTAGTGATTAAAGAGTAGGTAGTAGTGAGTAATGAGTAGTGAGTAGCGCGTGGTGAGTAAAGAGTAGTGAGTAGTGAGTAGTGGGTCGTGCCTGGTGAGTAGTGAGTAGTGAGTAGTGCGTAGTGATTAGAGAGTAGGTAGTAGTGAGTAATGAGTAGTGAGTAGTGCGTAGTGAGTAGTGGGTAGTGGGTAGTGAGTTGCGAAGTAGTGAATAGCGAGTAGTGGGTAACGAGCAGTGAGTGGTGAGTAGCGAGTAGGGCGTTGTGAGTAGTGAGCAGTGAGGAGGGAGCAGTCAGTAGTGAGTTGTGAGTAGGGAATATGATCAGCGAGCAGGGAGTAGCGAGAAGTCAGTAGTGAGTATTGAGTAGGGAGTAGTGAGTAGTGAGTTGTGGGAAAGGAAGAGTGGGTAGCTAGTAGTGGGTAGTGAGTAGCGAGTAGAAAGTAGTGAACTGTGAGTGGTGAGTCGAGAATAGTGAGAAGAGATTAGTGGCCAGTGACTAGTTCGCGAATAGTGAGTAGTGATCTGCACGAACGAAATGGGCACGGAAAGAATGGGTACAACGCCCAACAGCAAATGTTGTCCCAAACCAACAGCAGCCGCTGTTGGGCAGGCGGTCTTCTGTCTCGACTGGACAAAAGGCCGCGGCGGCGCGGACAGCGAGTCCTGTTCAGCGAGTCCTGTTCCTCTTTGCGTCCGAAAATGAGTAGTGAGTACTGTGTAGGGAATAGGGAGTAGCGAGTAGTGGATAGTGAGTGGTGAATTGTGGGCAGTGAGTAGTGAGCAGTGAGGTGTGAGCCGTGAGTAGTGGATAGCGGGTAGTGAAAAGTGATCGTTGAGTAGTGAGTAGTGGGTAGTGGGTTGTGTTTAGTGAACAGTGAGTATTGAATAGTGGGTAGTGAGTAGTTTGTAGTTTGTAGTGAGTAGACAGTAGGGAATAGAGAGTAGGGAGTAGTGGGTAGTGGGTAGTGAGTAGTGAGTAGTGAGTCGTGGTTACTGAGTAGTGAGTATCGAGTGGTGAATAGTGGGTAGTGAGTAGTGCGTAATGAACAGTGAGTGCTGTGTGGGGATTAGTGTTCGGGGTGGTAGGGGTCGGGTTCCGGAACCCGGGGGCGCCGTGGTGAAAGGGGGGGAGGGGGGGGGGGGGGAATTTGCCGGCCAATGGGGGGGAGGGGGGGGATCGGACCCCCCCACCCCATTCTGAAAGGGGGGAAAGGGGGGGGGGTCCGCGACGACGGACCGGGAAAGGGGAGGGGGGGGGGGTCCCCGACGACGGATCGGGAAAGGGGGGGAGGGGGAGAGGGGGGTTCCCCGACGACGGATCGGGAAAAGGGCGGGGGGAAGGGTTCGGACCCCCCCCCTTGGGGGGCGCGCCCTCCAAAATTAGCCGTAAGTCGGGCGTGTCCCCCTACAGGGGGATTTTCGACGAAAAATAAAAAAAACATAAATAATATAAGAAAATCCAAAAATATTTCGGGGACGATTTTTTGAATACTTTTTGACCTTTGTGGGGCACTTTCGGTGTATGTTTTTCATTTTGTCGTCGAAAATCCCCCTGTGTGGGGGGCACGCCCGACAAAGTTAGCCTGACGAAGGACCCAACAAGATGCAGCTGCGAGTGCCGCGTTGTGGCTACCGGTTTCGGTGGAGCTCCCTATGAGGCCACGAAACGTGCGAGGGATGCGCCGAAATCGGTGTCGCGGACGCATGTGGACCTTGCCACTGGGGCCTTCGGTGTAGCTCGTCATGGGGCCACGAAACGTTGTCATGGGTGGGGAGACGCATGCGAACGGCGCCACTGCCGCCTTCGGTGGAGGAGCTCCCGAGGGGGCCACGCAACGCTGTCCTGGGTGGGGAGACGCATGCGAACGGCGCCACTGCCGCCTTCGGTGGAGCTGCCTATGGGGCCACGAAACATTATCTTGGGTGGGGAGACGCATGCGAAACCCGCCACTGGGACCTTCGGTGGGGCCCCCTGTGGGGCCACAAGACGCTGTCCTGGGCGGGGGAGACGCATGCGGGCCCTGCCACTGGAGCCTTCGGTGGAGCTCCCTATGGGGCCACGAAGCAATGTCCTTGGTTGGGAAGACGCATGTGAGCAGTGCCATTGGGGCCTTCGGTGGAGCGCTCGGTGGGGCCACGAAGCGCTCTCCTGGGTGGCGTTGACGCATGCGGACCCTGCCACGGGAGCCTTCAGTGGAGCGCCTTGTGGAGCCACGAAGCGCTGTCTTTGGGTGGCGTTGACGCACGCGGACCCTGCCACTGGAGCCTTCGGTGGAGCTCCCTATGGGGCCACGAGACGCTGTCCTGGGTGGCGTTGATGCATGCGGACCCCGCCACTGGAGCCCTCGGTGGAGCTCCCGATGGGGCCACGAAACGCTGTCTTTTGTGGCGTTGCCGCATGAGGACCCTGCCACGGGAGCCTTCGGAGGAGCTCCTTATGGGGCCACGAGACGTTTGTCTTGGGTGGCGCTGTGGCGCTGACGCATGCTGACCCTGCTAGGGGAGCCTTCGGTGGAGCTCCCTATGGGGCCACGAAACGCGGTCCCGGGTGGCGTTGACGCATGCGGACCCTGCCACGGGAGCTTTCGGTGGAGCTCCCTATGGGGCCACGAAACGCTGTCCTGGGTGGCGTTGACGCATGCATTCGGTAGAGCTCCCTATTGGACCACGAGATTCTGTTCTGGGTGGCATTGACGCATGCGGACTCTGCCAATGGAGCCTTCGGTGGAGCGCCCAGTGGAGCCACGAAACGCTGTCCTTGGTGGCGATGACGCATGCGGACCCTGCCACCGGAGCCTTCGGTGGAGCTCCCTATGGGGCCACGAAGCGCTGTCTTTGGGTGTATCGAAATGGGTGGGATGATGCTGATGGTGACGATGGTGATGATGATGATGATGATGATGATGATGATGATGATGGTGATGGTGATGGTGATGGTGATGGTGATGGTGATGGTGATGGTGATGGTGATGGTGATGGTGATGGTGATGATGATGATGATGATGATGATGATGATGATGATGATGTGATGATGAGGATGAAGGAGGAGGAGGAGGAGGGAGGAGGATGAGGATGAGGATGAGGATGAGGATGAGGATGAGGATGAGGATGAGGATGAGGATGATGATGATGATGATGATGATGATGATGATGATGATGATGATGATGATGATGATGATGATGATGATGATGATGCCGTCGATGGTAGGAGGGGGAGGAGGAAGGGAGGAGGGGAGAGGACACGCGAGGCACTGTCTGTTCAAAACGAGGACCTGGCACCACAGGATGATTGGGACAAAACCATGCATGTTTCAAAGCCGCGGCCCCCAAGCGGCCCAAACCGGTCACGGACGCGGGTCAGCACTCGGCGGGGTGCACCTGGGCGCAAATCGAGGCACGCAGGCGAGAGGGCACGGAGCGCGAGTGAGGAAAGGAGGGAGGAGCCCGCGCAGACCACGAGGGCCATGCGCGGGAATGTCGTAGTATCGGGGAGACGTCAGACGGAGTCGAAACGAAAACTGTCCACGAAATTCCCATCAGTTCGAGCTCTGGTACTGTATGGGGCCCAGCCACAAGAAACCTTCTACAAGAAACCCAACCCTGAGACCCCAGGACGTCCATCGATTTCTGGCGTGGGAACGCCATGCCTTCCATCGCAAAACCGTCGAGACCCAAGGAACCCAGGGCACCCCAGAGGCAAGCAGGGTGTTTCTTGGCATGGGCCCCCACTGTATGGGTTGTGGTGCCTCGTACGCTGTAGGGCTCGAGCAAAGCCGTGTCTTTCGTTTTCGTTATGTTTTTATTTAATCGCTGCGCTCATTCCGCCGGCCCTCGAGCGCTCTATGGGGCCTCTTTGAAGCCTCTTGGGGGCCTCTTTGGGACCTCCTAGGGGCCTCTTGGGGGCCTCTTGGGGGTCTCTTGGGGCTCCTTGGCGGCGTCTTGGGGCCCCCTTGGGCCTCTTGGGGGGCTCTTGGGGGCCTCTTGGGGCGGGGTAGTCGAGTGCACCCCCTTCGGAGGCCACGATCCTCGTGAGGGGTGTCGAAAAAAGGCCCTGAAAACCATCTCTGAGTAGACCTGGTCGGGCTGCGGTCGGGATACTTCTCGCCAGGCAACCCCCAGGGGTCACCCCGCGCGCGCGAACCAGAAATACTGTTAACCAGTTACCGGAGATCTTAGCACGCCTCTGGCCCGTTGGGCCGGCGAATTACTTCCTTCGTTCTGTCCTCGTGTTTCCTGTGTGCTGTGCGAAACGGAGTCGAAACGAAAGCGGCCCACGAAATCGCCAAAACACCGTTTAGCTCGAGCTCTGCTACTTGGCCCGACCTCAAGAAACCTTCCGTAGGAATGCCACGCTTTCCATCGCAAGACCATCGAGACCCAAGGAACCCAGGGCACCCTGGAGGCAAGCAGGGCGTTTCTTGGCATGGGCCCCCACTGCACACCCGCCAACCATTCTCTCATGGCCCAGCGGGCTCTTTGGCGAAGGGGGGGCGGGGGGGGCGTCCCCCAGCACTCATCACTAAACCAGGTCCCACTAAGGCCAGTTCTGCCAACGCCCGAAGAGAGTCGAGCAGTGGCGAAGCGTCTTGGCCTGCCTATAGTCCCACCGAAGGCATGCTCCAGGAACGTGTTTTTTTTCTGATCTGCACGAAGTGTTCTTAGAGCACACTTCTGCACCACTCTCGCGAAGGGGAGGCGACTTTGGCGTCCCCGCGGGCCCCGGCGGCGACGTGCAGGCGGCCTGCCAGGACAGCAGGCCCGGCCGGCCCGCCGCGCTCGGACGCCGGCGCTTCCTCCTCGTCGTCGCCCTCCCTTTACGTCGGGCCTGTCCCCCTACAGGGGGATTTCGACGAAAAATTAAAACATCCCAAAAAATCAATCCAAAAATAGTCCAAAAATAGTATGGGGACTATTTTTTTAGTATTTTTTGTTTTTTTGGGGGTGCACTTTGGGGGTATTTTTTATTCTTCGTCGAAAATCCCCCTGTAGGGGGACACGCCCGACATAACCCTCCCTCCCTTGCGCCGACGACACGAGGCATGGTTCATGGCGCCAACATTGCAGAGCGGATCTCGTTCGGAATATAAAAGGGTGGGCCCGGGGTGTCCCAGAGAATTTCGCTCTGGATGTCGAGGTGATTTTCGCGCGGGTTTCTGCTGGGCCAGGGAGGAAGACTTAAACACATCCACGCGAAATTCATGTCGTTTTTCACGCGCCGCTTCTTGCAGAAATCCATGCAGAAATCTCGTCTGCAGCACGTCTGTAAGGCCAGTGCGATGAGGCATGGTTACGGTCCCAGACATGATCGCGTCGTGCAAAAATCAGGACGGGGGTTTTGGGTTATTTTCGGCCCCGGGGGGCCCTCGCCGGGCATCGGGGCCGTCAAAAAACGAGTTGGGACGAAAATCGGTTCCGGGGAAAGGGTCGGAACTTCCAGGGACGCCGTCCCGAAAAAACCAGGACGTCGCATGTTTGGGATAGGTTCGCGTCGTGTCGTTCGGCGGCGACCCCGCCTCGGACGTTCCAGGTTGAACGCCGCCAGTGGCCCAGAATCGGTTTACATGGAACGATCTACGCGGTGTCAGAAACCAACGCCGGGGTCGACACGACACGAGCTTGCTGTACGCCTGGGTATGGTGTAGCAGGCGATGTTTCTCCCCCCGCCCCCGTGTTCCGCCCGGACAGTTTGGCCGTTCAGAGGGAGGGGGAAGCCCAGGGACACGCCCTGCGGGGGCTATTCGCACGAACCCTCGTCGAGGATGGGCACCCCACATCGTCGTAAATCCGAGGGCTGGGCAGCAAAGTTCCTGGTCCTCTCGAAAATCCCACGAAGCCTGGGTTGGGGGTCGACTTGCCCCCTGTCCTGGCTTGCGATCCGCACCGTTGGGGGGCTCGGGGGGCACGACGCTGCCCTCGTCGGGCCTCCCCTGGGCAGGGCGCGGGGCTCCGTCGGGGTCCTCGCCCGCCCCCCCGGGTGCTGGTTGCGAACCGCACCCTTGGCAAACCACACCCTGCGGAGTCGCAGGGCCTTCAGTCGACTCCTCCTCCTCCTCCTCCTACTCCTCCACCTTCTCCTCCTCCTCCTCCTCCTCGTCCTCCTCCTCCTCCTCCTCCTCCTCCTCCTCCCCCTCCTCCTCCTCCTCCTCCTCCTCCTCCTCCCTCCTCCTCCTCCTCCTCCCTCCTCCTCCTCCCTCCTCCTCCCTCCTCCTCCTCCTCCTCTCCCTCCCCCTCCCCCCTCCTCCCTCCTCCTCCTCCTCCTCCTCCTCCTCCCTCCTCCTCCTCCTCCTCCTCCTCCTCCTCCTCCTCCTCCTCCTCCTCCTCCCCTCCTCCTCCTCCTCCTCCTCCTCCTCCTCCTCCTCCCTCCTCCTCCTCCTCCTCCCCCTCCTCCAACCCCCCCTCCACCCGTTCTGACAGCACGTGCCCAGCCCCCCCCAGCGGCGGATCGGGGGGGGGAGGGGCGATTTTGTCCCATCCAGAGTTGGCGGCAGGCTCGTTCCGTCGGCCCACCTTTCGTGCTCGATGCGGTGTTGTTGAGGCGCCATCCTGATCACCCCGCCTCGCCTGTCTCTCCTCGCCCCTCTTCTGTTAAGTCGGGCCTGTCCCTCAACAGGAGGAAAAATCCAGAATAGACAAAAAGAGTACGGGTATGTTTTTGTCCATGATGTTTGATTAGTTTCGAATATGTTTTAAGTATGTTGATTTTCCGTCCACAAGCTGCCTGTAGGGGACATGCCCGACCTAAGGCTACCTCGAAGAGTCAAGCAGTGGCGAAGCTTGGAGCCGGCTGGGGGTCTTAGGTGGCTTGTCATCGATTCCAGCGAGCAGGAAGGGGGGACAGGCTGGAGGTTTTGGGGTTCGAGAAGGGTTTCGACTTGGTCTGCCTCCAGGGCCGTTCTCGGGCCCAGCGGGAACGTCAAAAACGGATCCAGGATGAAAAACTGCACCGCATGGACCCCAGGGGGGGGGCCAGGTCCCGATTTTGAGTTTTTGTTGTTGTCATCCCCCGTCTTGACCGATTATCTCGGGGCCCATCCAGATGAGACCCCCGGGCAGCCTGTAAGGCGAAATGTCCTGACCTGCCTACAGGCTCACCAAAGAACTGTCTGAGAACAGTCCTGAACAGAAAATGTCTTAGAACCCATCTGATTGAGACAGTCGGGTTTTACTACATCAGCTACAAGTATGAAGATATTGATGTTGTTATGAGAGCAACCTTTTGTTATCAGGAGATGTCGTGGTAGGCCTACAGTAATAACGGGATGACCAACCCCTGCTCAAAAGATGAGGAAGGCCGTATATGATAAAAACAAACACCATAAACATAGTTGGTATCCATAAGTTTCGCGCTATGTCTTGGATCTGCGCGAATATCCGAGACATTATGTTTACATAGTTTGTCGTCCCTCGAGAAGAGGAAAGAAAGGAAGTCCCAGATCCCCTCGAGCCTGCGAATCACAAACACGACGGTTGTTTTGCTAAGTTCAACTTCTGGGTGCCCTTGCCGGGCTTCGGGGCCGTCAGAAAAGGATTCGGGATGAAAATCCGATCCAGGGGCATGGGTCACTTCGATGGTTCCACACTGCGAACAGGATGACCACGTAGAAATGTTGTGGATGAGGAGCGTCGATAAAGGCCGAGGGTCTAAAAAAACAGTGTATATAAAAAACGAGGTTGGTATAAAACACTTGAGGTCTAAAACAAGATGGCTTGTTCATACCATCTGGGTTGTTCTTGCACCCGAGGAGGAGGAGGATCGGCGACTACAAAGGGTATGATTACGCCGGGGTGTGGTTTGCGATCGGCACCGTTGGGGCCCGGGGAGCACGTCACTGTCCTCGCCGGGCCTCCTCGGGGCGCGGCGGAGAGCTCTGCCAAGGTCACCGCCCGCCCCCCACGGTGCCCCCAGGGTGCCCACCAGGGTGCCCCCCAGGGTGCCCCCCAGGGTGCCCCCCAGGGTGCCTCCTAGGGCGCCAGTTGCAAACCACACCCCATGCAAACCACACCCTTCGGAGTCGCCGAGAGGAGCCAACAAAAGCACATATTCGACGCGCTGCTTCGATGCCGGCCTCGGGTCCGACGCTGTGCCCCCCCCCCCTTTCTTTATCTTGCGCCATCCCTGATCACCCCGCCTCGCCAGTCTCTCCTCGCCCCTCTTCTGTTAAGTCGGGCATGTCCCTTTACAGGGGGAAAATTCAAAAAGTTGCAGAAAAATAATATTGGGACGGTTTTTTGTATGTGTTTGGTTATCTGGGGGCATTTGTGGATTGTGTTCTATTCTTTCTCCAAAATCCCCCTGTAGGGGGACATGCCCGACCTGACGCCAGTCTCTCCTCACCCCTCTTCTGCCTCCTCCCACCCCATCACGTGCGCATGCATTCCCCACCCCTGCTCCTTGCTCTTCGTCCTCGGGAGAGTCCCGTCTCCCCGCCCCCTCCGTCTCGTGCTCCTCTGCCTCCGCCTTGCCTCGGACCAGCGGCCCTTCCTCCGTCGGCATCGTCTGCAGTGTCTCACTTGGCAAGCACATCCGTTTTGCAAGAATATACGTCAAGAATATACGTCAAGGACGGTTTACATGCCATATTCCTCGGAACCCACATATTGGATGAGGCTCTGAGTGGGATGTAGTCCGATAGTCTTGAAGAGCGCTGTTGGAGACGGATGGTGGTGTCATCAGGGGCCGGCCCACATCATGCGTCGTGTGTTTCTTGCCGAGAGGCATTAGCATGCGGCAAGTTGAATGCCGAGTGATGTCAGTTAATTGACCGTGGATTGTTGAGCAGCGTTCGGGTCTCAGTACCAACTGTCATCGAGCGTATGAGCCATTAGGGAACAACATCAGTCGAAGCCTAAGTGATGCACAATTGAGCATTGGAAGCGTTGCGGCATGGAGCGACATGTGCATGCCGTTCGTGTGGCGCGTACGTTTTCTGGTCCGACCGTGCCCAGATGACCGGACCTACATCAAGATCAGGACGCATGCATGAGCAATAAATTCGAAATCTTTGCATGCGCGCCACTGGGCGTGCCGCTTTTGAGATTGGTGGCCCAGCGTTAAGAAAGAGCTGACGCTGCTTCCGCGGACCACACTAGGCGAGCGGGCGGGGACGGCGTGGGTTGTTGCATGGCGCCTCCCACAGCGGGCGGCGGTGCCACTGCCCTCAGAGCAGAACGGACCTGTGTCTTGTTGGATGCATCTCGGTGTCTCGATTCGCGCTTTGTGTTCAATGTGTGTGGTTGTGTTGTTTTGTTGTTCTCTTTCTCCCTCTCTCTTTCTTTCGTAATGTGTATGACTGTGAATATATGTGTATAAATATAGAAGTGTATTGCGATGGCTGGAAAGGGTGCCCAGGGGGTGGGAAAAGCTGAACGGCAACTTGAACCAGGCGAACGTGGATTTTGCAAGGAGGAATACATGATTTGGCTACCTTCCGCTACAGGTGGCGGCCGTGAATTGATACCAAGTCTTCTTGTTAGCTTGTCGTGGGCACTTTATACAGGCGTGTTCCTGGCTCGCGTGCGTCGGTCGCAATGAACGATGTCCGCTTGTTGTGCTCCACGATCAGGGCATCGTAGTCGTCTGTGGCTGTTTTGGCTCCAAAACGCAGTGAGCCAGTCGGTTCCCCAGGCGTACACACTAGGCGTGGCCACTGACTGAAGCGCTGAATACCTGCCATCCTCCGTTTGCAAGTGAAGCAAAACATATGAGGTGTTCGGTCTCGTTTAGCTCCAGTGAGAGGGCCCAAAATGTGATATCCTTGTTGTCGAGCTTCTCTGTTGTGAAGGAGGCCCTTCTGCTCATCGATGAGGGCGCGGCCTGCCGGGCCATGAACTCACGCGTCTCTTCAGGGGTCCACCCAATAACACTGCGAAGTTTCTGAACAGATACTACTTGCTTGGCGTGGGTACCCTTCTCCGCCAGGCCAGCCAAGGATTCCATTGCACGTCTCGATAAATCGCTAGCGCGAATTGTCTTGCTAATATCTTCTTTCAGTGATGGCACAGTCCAAAGCGGTTTCGGCGGCGAACGCCGGTCAGGAACGACATCGAGGATACTCTCGCGGTCTGCTGTGGCCAGGGCCAAGGCGCGCAGGACTCGCATGGCGCGGTTGCGCGCCACAAACGTAGATCTGCACTTGAAGCCAGGCGCAGGCCTCAGCCCTGAGGGGATGAGGGCACTAAGTTCCACATGGGTAGGTCGAGGTGACAAGTCGCACGTGCATGACTTTGCCATCCATGCAGCCACCGTCGAGAAGTAGCGCGCCAACCTGACAACCTTCGCGCCACTGGCACTCTCCCGGGGAGTCACCAAGGGGAGGCCCGTAGCTATAGCGAATTCATTTGCAAGTTCCACCCATGTCACGGACAGAGGAGCACGCACAGTATCATCAGCTTCCCATTGTAATTGAGCAAAGTACCACACCGCCGCTGGAAAAAGCGACTGCTGGCAGTACCACTCCGGCGTAGCGTGCCCCCAGTGATAGCCAGGAAAAGCCAACTTGGGCGACCAGTTCGTCGGATTAGTAGTTGCTTGGTCCAGGGCAAGCTCGCGGTTGGAACTACTGTTCGGGCTCGGTCGGCTCGAAGACGCAGCAGTCGTAGTGCTTGTCGCTGGTGAGGTTGCGCTCGGTGTGGCGGCAGGTGGCTCTCTCGTCTTCTTGCCATGCAAGCGTCGGGGGACGCCTGGCAAAGGTGGTGGTGGAGACGCAGGCGGTGGGCTCGGCAGGTCGTGATTGGATTCGCCCATGCCCAGGTGCGCCCACGGGTTTTCTTCATCATTCTCCCCAGGCAGGTCAGGGGGATGTCCGTCGAGTTCTGCCTGTTCCACGGCACGCGCTCGCTCGCGCCCAGCGTCGTGCGCGTCGCGACCCATCTCCGTCAGCGCCTTGGCTCGTCTCTCGAGGATGACCGCGGCAGCGCGTTGGGGCAGGCAGCACAGCTGCTGCTCTCGACGGCGTCGTTGTCGCAGTGATGCCGGGAGGCCGTGCGAGCGCGCGGCTCGAACGGCGCCCTCGGCGGCAGCCCGGTTGCGCCCCCGCGGCGTGCGTTCCTCCGCGGGGGCGTCGCGTTCGCTGCGGTGTGCGCTGGTCGTCTGTGCTCGAAGTTGGTCTCGGCCATTGGCTTCCAGTCCAGTCTCAATAGCTTCCCATAGGTCAGCGCGGTGCTTGGTGGTCAGGGTCTCGCCGCGAAGCAAGGCTGCGAAGCTCCGAACACAGCACGCACGATCAGTAAGATACATTGGGGGGGCACCATGCCCAAGCGACAAAATGCCTCAATGCTGGAACTTCGGCGCGGTGGGCGCCCTGGGCCACTCCTCGGAGCGGCACCTCGATATTGCAAGGGCGTCCGCTGCCATAATGAGGAGCGCACCCAGATCAGCGAGCCCGAAGGTCTGACGCCTGGCCAGGGCAGGAGCCGTCTCCTGCAACCACGAAATAGCCATCAATATTGGTCAGCACTGTGTCCTCATCGTCTCCCACTTCGTAGTCCCCGTCGCCATGATGGAGCAGGGTTTGGAGCGGCGGCTCGCCGGGTAGGAGTTGACGTGCAAACTCGTCATATTCTGGTCGGTCAGGCATGTGTCCGCAGCACAACAGACACGCAGGCAGGGCGTAGAGCTCCTCTCGCGCGTAGTTGGACAGTAGCGCTGATCCGCGAGATCCCCTCTGAGGGCAGTCCAAGAGAATATGCGGCATCGTCTCGTCGGGGTCGAGGCAGAAGGGGCACTTCTTGTGGCTAGCATTCTTGGTAATGTAGTGCAGGCGATGGCCTGTGATCGTCCCTCCCTGGAGGTAAGCCCTGAGGAACGGCGCCTGCTTGCTGGTCAATTTCGGCACTGGTATGTCGGAGGCACCGAGGAGAAGAGGTGGCTGTTCCATCGGCTCATCATCCACGCCCTCGTCGTCAGGCTTCGCGTTCCTCTCGGCCTTCCTCAGCAGAGCAGCGGTGATGTGAGAGTTCAGGCCCATGTTCCCATTGGTGCCTCCTTTCGTATTTTTCCGCCCCAGCAGCCGAGGGTCTCGTCGCCAGACCAACCGCCTCAGATCTTCTCGCAATGTGTGAAGCCACCAGCTTTGCGGGTGTTTCGTAAGATAGATTTGTTGACCGTTCGCCCTCTGAAAGTACTCGAAGGCAGGTTATTCCAAATTTAAAGTTTGCAGCACAACACGAAGTCGATTGATGGGCCAGCGTCACTGTCCTTGACGGAAGTAGTAACCCTGTTGCGCAGGAGGTCCCAACATTGCTTTGCTCGCGGTAGCAGTCGAGGGCCACTCGGGCCGTTGAAAAGTCTGCGTGCAATAACCAACGGCTGGGCCCTGGCGACTTGCAGCGGATCAATCAAGTGGCCCCGCGCGACTAACGTGAGCGCGTTGGCAGGCGATCTGAATGCACGGCCCTTGTGCCACAAGGACTTGATGATTGCAGACGTGAAGTTCAGATAGTTGCGCTTCGGGAGACGTCGAAACTCAATTCCTATATCGACTCGAGGAAGAGCTGCCGTCGCGAACAAGTGTTGGTTGCCTTGTAGTCCAAGCGGTGCCCCACCTGTACGTTGCGTGGCCCGATAGGCTGAAGCATAACGCCGTCGCCGATCACCTTGCGAACACATTCCGAAAGTGCATGTCTCACCGCCCACCAAGACAATATCCCGCACCACTTTGAAGTTCTCGTGCCCGTGGTATGTGAGAGCAGTTTTTTTGTACAGCCTCTGGTTTCAAGGACGTCGCGAAGTGCTCCGCCCTGGGGATGTTGGTCTGAGTGCCAGCATGCTCGTCGAACCCCAGGGACACAGCAGTCGCCTGCTCAGTTCGCACTGCATGGCAGGGCCCTTCAGCACGGAAGTTGCCGTCACCGGTAAAAGAAATGATGTTCACCTCTGTTTCTTTCTCTAGGGCGTGGCCCCAAATGGACATGAGCGCGAGCGCCTGCTGGAGGGACCAGGAGCCCCCTTGGACAAAACCGTTGCTGCGCTTCGTCACAGACTGCACGGGCGACTTTCCAGCGAGCTCGAAGATCCTGGTAGAAGACCTCGGAGGCGTGCACTACACCCGCAGGACAGCCCAAAGCTTTCATGAGCCGTTGTCCTATCTCATGTTCCAATAGATCAAAGAATGTGCGTCGGTCTGCAGAACATCCTGAAAGTGGCGCGCCCGCCACATGAGCGTACTCAATATCTAGAGCGTGTTCCCAAGATACTTCTTGATAGTGATAGCCACGTCGCGCCTCAACTGCTCCACTATGCATCCACTTCTCCCTCCAACATGACATCTGGTGGAAACGATCAGCCGTCAGGGCGGTGCAGATCGGGCTCAGGCTCGTGATGGGGCGCGTCTCGGCGATAGTTGCTGTCCATACATTGTCTGGTTCCACGTCGGCAGCCAAGTCGGCCTCCTGGTCCCATGTGGGTAGGCACGAAGTGATGCCTACCGTCATCGCACGCGGCCAGCGGAGCCAAGCACCCGGCACAGATGCACGTCGGCAACAGGCGCAGTTCGCCGACGCGCCAGCCATTTGCAGCAGCTGCTCGGTGGACCTTCATCTTACGAAATTGCGTCTGGAGACGGTATCCAGTAGTATGTTATCTCGCATTGGTGATGCTCGATATAGAGTCCGAAGCGTTTTTCCAAGGCCCCCAATGATTTGAGTTTGGTGTTGTTGAAATTTTTCTCCCAGAATAGATCAACCTGCTTCAGAATATCGCTGCGCGTCGTACATATACGATTTGGATCATCGTGTCCCTTGACAGCGTAGAAAATATGATACTGTCTCTGCTTGATCCAAGCGTGAATTTCTCGGCCACCTGAGTATCGAAGAGACTCGCGTAGTTTCTTTCTCCAGTTGTCTATCCTTGCAAGTTTCCTTTCCCTCACATGCTTGGCGCGTTTGGCCTCCAGAGAAATAGTCCAGGTACCAATTGCCTCCAAGGTAGGTACGCCGCGAGGAAAGTCATTGCCAGGAAGGTGTAGTTCTCGTTGCGATTGCTTCCGAAGGATGCGCCACAGGCGCAGCGCCTTCAGCCTGCGTTGAACATTTTCCTGCCCACGATGAAGCTGGAGGCTGGGTTCAGCAAGGCGGCGAATGACATTCTCGAGGCGTCTCAAGGTCGTCGCGGCGGGGCCTGCCTTCAATTTGGCCCTTCCTTCAGGTGGAGCAGTGGTTTCCCGTTGTACGAGTTCTGGTTCCTGACTACGGCCATGATACGCAGCACCAAACTTGATTCCCGTGTGGCCCAGCCGTTTCTCAAGGTAAGATTCTCCAATTGTCCCGATAAGGCTCCAGGCATCATCTGGTCGTTCGTCGACAAGGGTTTGCTCGAAGGCGTCGAAGTGCTCGTCGATGCACTGTCTGCCCAGGGCCTCATTCTCATCCGATGTGATCTTTTTTGACGCCCTCCACTGGATAAGCCCGCGGCATTCGTAGACTTTGCCAAGTGTCAGTAAGGACATCAACATTAATGAACAATTCCAAACCAAGATGACTTTTGATTCCCAAGCCTCGGCGTAGACGAAAAGACTTGACCGCAACCCTGGCTGCAGCGTTGACAATCATAAGGTCGGGTCGACTGACATGCGTGCCTTGAGAGAATGTGTCCCACGCCGGGTCCAGGCCGTAGGTAGGCTCTGCTCCAAGCATAGCGCTCTCGTCATGCCACCTTCCTGTCGCGAGGACGGCGAGCAATGTTGAAGATTGTGCCGTCGTGTTGTTTGTGTCCATGCACACGATGATGGCCTGGTCGCCTAAGCTTTCAGCATCCTCGAACGTGTAGTGGAGGTTTCTATCATTCCGTGTCCTGATCATGTTATCGGAGCCGGCCTCATTGTAGAGGTTGATGAAGAGAATAGGGCGAGATCAAACGAGAGCAACTACCCGCAGCAAGCACGTAGTTGTATACATCTCCTTAGCAGCGCCGTACTTCCGCCAGGCAACGTCACAAGACTCTTTTTGGCGATCATAGCTACACCGCCCTGCGCCGTGCGATGTTGCTTTGAACCATGACATTTTGCGGGCGCAGAGGGTGCCCGAAGATAGCTTCGTATCCGTTGGCGTGGCAGACCTTCGCTCAGCCCAGCTGCTGTTTGAAATCCAGCCTCGCTTCTTGCAATACAAGTAGATCTGCGTCCATCGTGTCCATACGGCCGACGAATGAATTCCAAGAAGAGAGATTTGCTGAGAGAATCGTTGCCAAGATAGGAGTATGTCCAGAAGGAGGCCAAGATAAGAGCATGTCCAGAAGGAGCCGCGGCAGGAGGGGGCGGCTGCTTGCCTCGAAACCGACGTCCAGGCATCATGGCGTTGATTGAATTGCCAGGGAGGTCTTCAGCTTCTTGGCCGCAACCTCAAGCTCCGCAGCCCCAGGCGTCTGCTGGGATGAGGCACTTGAACTCTGCGCTATCACCTCCATGCACTTGGCGAGTCCCTGCCCTTGAAGATGTAGTTGCTCTATGATTGATTTCTGGTGTTCCGTGACAGGCGTAAATTTGGTGATAGGCCCGAGCTTGCTGGCTGTGGCTGAGGCTGCGCTGCACCCTGGTCAGGATCATTTATCTTCACATCGCCTGACTCTGCTGGAGGAGGAGCCGTGGGGCGAGTGAGCTGCGCAGTCACACTGGCCTTCTGCGCAGGGGTGGTAGCTGCAGGGCTCGGACCTATCGGTGGCGCATACTTCGTAACCATGGCTGCCCACGAGGGGGCCTCCACAGCTTCCTCTTTCTTGGTCGTCTCCGGATTGATCGTAGCCTGCTTGCCGTCGATGTTGATGTCTTTGCTAATTGGCGGTGCATCTACGCGGACGTGGACCACAGGAGCGCGTTTCTTACCCACACCTTTGTGACGAACCGCAAGGAACTCTGTTGTCCATCCCATCTGTGTACTCGGTTGCTGGCATAGCGCTTTTCCATCAATCAGTGCTGGGAGCGGGCTGATCTGGAAGATGGTCGCGGCGGGAGGAGCACGCTTCTGGATTTGCTGCCACGCCGCATTCGCCTTCGCCTTCTTTACGCGAAAAAATAAAGCCAGAGTCTTGAAGTGATATCCAAGTCCACAGGCCCCTTCCAAATTCTGACTAAGCTCGATCGCCTCCGCAAGGGAGGTATTCTTCATGAAAGGGACGAAGGCCTCTTCCTCCTTATCCTTCTGCAGGGCAACACCGTCGCCGCCGATGTTGGAGCGCACACTCATGAGGGCCTCGGCTTCGCATTGGATTTTGGTTGGTGCCCGAGTGGGTTGAAGAACCGCATTCTGGGACCCACCAAATTGCCATACAAATAGTTTGTGCATTTCCCGTCGGTCATCTTCGTGAACGAGAGGGACGTCCAGGAGCTCGATGAGTTGAGAAAGGCCGCGTTGAGCGACCAACAGTACCAAACCCTTAGATGTACCTTCAGGAGCCCGAGCCACTACGAACCCAAACGCATTCACTGGATCGGGGCGTCGCCAGAAAGTGTCATCACTGCACAACTGTTGGAGCTCAGAGGTCGTGGCCAGATGACCAATAGTACCAAATCCTTAGATGTACCTTCAGGAGCCTGAGCCAAAACGAACCCAGACGCATTCACTGGATCGGGGCGTCGCCCAAAAGTGCCATCGTTGCACAACTGTTGGAGCTCGGAGGTCGTGACCAGACGAACTCTCTGCACGTCGTCGTGTAGGTCGCGGAAGGGGGGCCCGCGGGACGTGGGGATCGCCCAGTCGGCAACGTCCAGCTTGGTGGTATAGATTGCCAGCCAGTCGGGTTGCCTTCCGAGCGTGGTTTCTGCTTGAGGAAGAGGAGGAAGAGGAAGAGGAGGAGGAAGAGGAGGAAGAGGAAGAGGAGGAAGAGGATGAGGAGGAAGAGGAAGCGGAGGGGAAAGAAAAACATTTGCGGATAACAGACCACACGCGCTATCTCTTTTTTTGGCGTGGGGGATGTCTCACTGACTGGGGGCTTGAATCCCAGAGGACGCTCTTTCAACCATGCCATAACTGACTTGAAAACTCCGGAGGCCTCTTGCTGCGCCACCACTGCCAGCTTCTCCTTTGAACATACTGCGCAGATGGTCGTAGATCTGCTGCGCATTCGCTTTCCCTTTCGCCTCCAGGATACCTATCACCCGGGCCGAAATGGATGCGGGGGTGGCCAGCTTCGCCATCCCCTTCCTCAAGTTGATTTTAGCTGCGCTCGCCCCACGGCCTTCAACAGGTCCGTTGCCGTGGAGCGCGTGCTGAAGTTTGTTCCAAAATCTGTGCGAGCTCAACCACAAGTAAGTCCATGGCGTGCCATTAGACCTGTCATCGTAGATATTCCAATGCGACAGTCGGCCCCAGCAGACGGATACAAGAGTTGGAATCCCCAGAAATATCTGCTTCGTGCTCCTCGCGCCCTCCTCGGAGGACGGCACGACAACCGAGGCCTCGAAGCTGTCTCGGTAATGTAAGAAGTCATAGTTAATATTCTAAGAATGTTGCACCAAATAATGTATAAAGTAGTCATAGGTATAGAAGAGCTAACTCGCGAGTTAATACTTTCCTATGGGTGGTATGTATACCCACGATAAAAAGCATTTCTTCGCGAGTTAAGTATGTTTAACTCGTGATTCCAGGGGCCAGAAGGTTGAGCACTTCCACGGAGATCACCTCGTACCGCAGCTGCGCGGCCAAGCTGATCATCTCCTCCCTGTCACCGACGTCCGCCTTTCTCCGCGCCGCTGACCCCCATCGCGTCCACACCTTTGCAGAACTCCGCCCAGGAGACGGCAAGCACAGCCTGCCCCGGGCTGCCAGAGCTGGTCGCGGCACAGTCTGCCTCGGGCCCGACCCCGTTGAGCTCGGCGAGCGCGCGGACTGCAAGGTGTTTGTACTTCTCGGCCTTCGCGAGGGTGAGTGCCGCTGCAGCCTCACGCTCCGCAGCCTTTTTCTACCACTTCACGTGCGCGAAGGAGCGCCGGAGCTGCTTGACCATGCGTGGTGGCCGCATCACGCATAGCTGCTGTGGCCCGACGTACCGACCCCTCGGGCGTGATGGCCTTCTCGGCGGCGCCGCCGTCGTCGGTCTTGAGCTCTTGCACGTGGTCTGTGAGGATGGCCTTCATCGTTGGATCGGTGGTGACAAGGAGCGCCTGCTCGTAAGCCGCCGTCGGAGACGATGCGGTGGCTGCCGAACTCGGTGTTCCTGGAACGAGGGCGAGGTAGTTGCCGTCCTGGCCCCCTTTGCTGTACTGGGAGGTGGCCTTGGGTCGGTACAACGCGACCTCCGCGTAGCACTCCGGACACCGACAAAGTTGCTGCAGTAGGACTCTATTCCACTCTTGCCGACCGCACTTCTGACAGGAGGACCATCCATTGGGAGACGGTTCAATGCTGTCGGGAGGGGCAGCAAGAGTAAGAGATTTGGTCCCTTGTTTCTTCTTGGCCATGGCTAGAGGGAGAGGAGATGGCAAGCTGCCCTCCTTAGTCAACCTGTCGGAGCGATGCCAAGACACTGCCCCTTCTGGTGTCCCTCAAGCGCCACGGGGAGGCGAGGGCGGGCTCAGAACAGACTGTTCGGAGACGAAGTGGTTTGAGAACAGGGCGTGGCGGAGCAAAGAGAGGAGAAGGGAGGAGGAGCAGCAGCACCAGCAGGAACAGCAGCATGGAGGAGGACGAGGAGGAGGAGCTGGAGGAGGAGGGACACGAGAAGCAGGAGCAGGACTAGCAGGATGAGAGCCAATCCTTGCCTGCCGAACGGTTCGGCACTCGGTTCTGCCTGGGCTCCAGTGTCCCTGAGGAAGTCTCACGAGTTTTCCATGCGTGCCCTGCTGGGCTGACGCTGGCGCAGGCGGGAGTGCGGCGAGTGTCGAGCATGGAGCTCCCAGCTCCGCGCGCACTTGCCAGTCGCATCCACCGCGATCAGAATTGATACCAGTATGGCAGACTTTGGCCGTACTGAGAGCTTGACCAAAAGAAGTGTCGGAGGGGGGAGGGGGGCAGCGGTATGCCAAGGGGGAAGCGAGAGGGGACAGGCCTTCGGAGAAGGCGCCGGGCTTCTCAGAAGCCCTCCAGCCTTCTGAGAAGCCCTCTGCATTCGGACGCAACTCCTGGGAGGTCAAATTCTGACTTTGCCCTTGTCCGAACTCCGGCCTAATCCCGCTTAATCTGGCGCAATCCGGCCGAATCCCGCTTAATCCGCGGCCTAATCCAGCGTAGCAGCCCCCAATGGGTCTGAATCCCCCTTTTAATCCTTCCGGCGAAGACCTCCCAGCAGGTGCCTCCCAATCTGTGGCTCTGGAGAAGGCCCACAGGGGCTTCTCGGAATGACGGACGCTTTCTGATCCTTCTCTGGAGGCCAGCTCTCTCTCTCTCTCTCTCTCTCTCTCGGCCTTCGACCGTGCGCGCGCCGTCAAGAGGAGGAGGAGGAGGAGGAGGAGGAGGAGGATCCTCCTCCTCCTCCTCCTCCTCCTCCTCCTCCTCCTCCTTCCTCCCCTCCTCCTTTACTCCTCCTCCTCCTCCTCCTCCTCCTCCTCCTCCTCCTCCTCCTCCTCCTCCTCCTTCTCCTTCTCCCCACTCCTCCTTTTCCTTCTCCCCTCCTCCTTTTCCTCCTCCTCCTCCTCCTCCTCCTCCTCCTCCTACTACTCCTCCTCGTCCTCCTTCTAATTGGTTCGAAGCTTAGTGCGGGCCCATGCGAGTGGGGGCGTTCCGTGGAGCGCGGGCTTGCTGGGTCGGCTCGGAAAACTGCTGGTCGAGCACTTCGGGAACCGCCTCTTGGCTCCCCTAGTGCAGAGGGGGCTGGGCCCGCCTGGGCCCCCTGCCCCGCCTTGTCGCCACGGGTGGTCGGGGCATTTGTGCACCGCCGTCTTCCCCGTCTGGCGGCGTGCCGGTCGGTCCTGGCTTCCTCCTCGGAGGCCAGCGACGTGGCAGCGTGACCTCGCGGGTCCGTCGGGGCTCTCGTCGCCGACGCGCCCGTGAGCGCGCGCGCGTGCGCTCGGCGATGCCGAGTGCAGCTTCGGGGCGCGGGGACACGCCACCTCCCTCCGCGCAGCCTGCTCCCTCCTCCTCCTCCTCCCCCTCTCCTCCTCTCCTCCTCCTCCTCCTCCTCCTCCTCCTCCTCCTCCCCTGCTCCTTCTCCTCCTCCTCCGAAGGGGGGGGGGGGGGGGGACGTTCCCGCGTGTGGCGCAGAACGCGACACCTACGCACGTGCCCTGGAGGAGCCTTCCGATGCCGCACCTGCAGCCCGACTCGTTCCTCCCCTCCCCTCCTCCCCTCCCCGTTCTCTATCGCAGATTCGGCCACAGGCCCTCTCCCCACGTTGCTTACGACGTGCACGCAGTGTGCGCCCGCTCGTGCGTGCGCGCCCAAGCTTCTCTGCGCGTGCACCACTCAGAGGAGGGGCCAGTTGAGACAGCGGCAGTTGGACATTGGCGGGCCCCCTCGTCGGCTGGACGGAGCTCGGAAACTTGGTGCGTTTAGACCCCGGGTCCAGGGACCGGTTCTGAGTTGCCTACGCACGCATCACATACTCAGCCCTTTCTCACGTGCATGGTGCGTACGCGCATTCGGTTGCAACTCCTGGAAGACTAAGTTCAGCATCGGTGCTCGCATTTTCGCAGCCGACAGGTGGCACCATTCCGCCTCATGCGGCTGAATCCCTCTTCATCCGGGTTGATATTGGGCTCCATTTGGGACAAATCATCTCAATGGTTTTTCACTCGGGCCGAATAGCCTTTGCGCTCCTTGCGAAGACCTCCCAGGAATTCTCTGTTCCTAACATGCACGGCGGTGTTTCCCGTGGCGCTGTCGAGTGCGATGGGCCGTTCCTCCTGGTCGCCTCTCCCCCCGGATGCTGGCCGCACACCAGCCTGTGCTCTCAGGCGGCCCCGCCGGGGGCGGGCACGGGGCCGGTTGGCGTCGAGTAGCCGGCCGTGCGCGCTTTGCCGCGACGTGTTCCTCCTCCTCCTCCTCCTCCTCTTCCTCCTCCTCCTCCTCCTCCTCCTCCTCCTCATCGTCATCATCATCACCCCCCTTGTCCTTCGGCTCCTTCGACTCTTGCTTCCCATCCTTCTTCTTCTCCTCCTCCTCCTCCTCCTCATAATCATCGTCATCGTCAGCATCTTCATCACTATATTGTGTCTGATCCTGGCTCCACGTTCTGCTCTTCCTCACCCTCGTCGTGCTTCGTCGCATCATCATCGTCATCAGCATCATTATCATCATCATTCATTCAGTCATGCATTAAGTCCATCTTTCATTCATTCATCATCTGCAGCAGCATCATCAGCATCAACATCATCATCGTCATCATCATCATCAGCAGCATCAGCATCATCAGTAGGGGGTTCATTATGTTATTGATCCATGGCATTCCCGTCGTTGTGTTCCTCCGTCTGATTCCTCCTGATCATCATCAGCAGCAACAGCATCATGCTCCAGACCTGCGCTGCGGCACGTGATCGTCATCAGCATCACCACCACCACGACCACCATCCCAACCAGCATTGTCAGTATAGTTGTTATTAGCAGAGTCGTTATCATCAGTACCATCAGCAGCATGATCCTCATCATCATCAGCAGCAGCATCATCATCGTTTAGGATCGTCGGCATTATCAGTATCATCGCCACCGTCGTAGCATCTGCACAATCGTTACGATCTCACCATGACATCATCATACAACCACAATCATCATCGTCGGTGCTGCCGTCATCCTCATCGTCATCATCATCATCATCATCATCATCCTCATCCTCATCCTCAGCATCATCCTCAGCATCATGATCGGCATCCTCATCATCATTATCAGCATCACCATCACCATCACCATCAGCCGCAGCATCAGCATCATTGGTCATCATCCTCATCATCGTCATCATCATCATAATCAGCATCAGCATTAGCAGCACCATCATCATCACCATCACCATCGTCGCCATCAGCACCATCAGCATCATCAGCAGCAGCATCATCAGCATCACCATCATCATCGCCATCATCGCCATCATCATCGCAGTTCCGCTCCACCCTCTCCCCCCCCCTCCCCCATCTCCTGCCCGCGATGGCGCCGTCCGCGCGGGCGGTCGTGCTCCTGGCGCGGCTGGCCGCGGCCGGCGGCCTCTACGGGAAGCCGCCGCCCTGCGGCCCCGGGGAGGCGCGGCGCCTCTTCCCTCCCTCCTGCTTTCCTGGTTCCTCCTCCTCCTCCCTCCTGTTTCCCCTCCTCCTCCTCCTCCTCCTCCTCCTCCTCCTCCTCATCCTCATGTTTCCCTCCTCATCCTCCTCCTCCTCCTCCTGTTGCCCCTCCTTATGTTTCTCCTCCTCCTCCTC